TAGTTTGACTTTAAACTTATTTGATCATGGACACATTAGGTATGATACCTAATGTAAAATATAGGTAGGTAAGTACTAAGTACCCACGTTAAGTAAAAACAAGTAATCATGAATAATTTATGTATATATTATAGATATATATATATTAGTTATCTATATAATGCTATATACATATCTAATGAGAGTAGTACATTGATACTTAGATAATTTTTGTTTGTGATAAAAACTGATACACCTTTGGTGCAATATAAAATTATTTTCTCCCCTACTTAAAAAAAAAAAAAACATTAGTTGAATAACTGTTATAATTTATAATAGATATTATAATAGAACTGTATATTATATTCGGTATACAAAAACAGTTTGAAACACAAAATTAATTTAATATTAGGTAATATTAATTTAAATAAAATAACATAAGGTACCTACCTACATAACACATTCAATATTGTTAAATAGTCACATGTAAGTAACCGGAAATATTTAATTGATTATATTATAATTCATTATATTAATTTAATAAAACAAATATTAGAATCAACAACCTATTTAATATTCTAAGTACCTAATACCTAATGGAGTTTTAATAATAATAAGTACATTTATCTCGACATTTATTTTAAAGGTAGGTAAAATATAATATTTTACCAGCCTTCAATATTTAATTTGGATATTACCTTAAATGTTTGATTAAAATCCTTTAAAAATTAAACATAGGTATTATAATAAATAATCATAATCAAAGAAGAAGAACATGATAAAAACAAAGGAAAATAAACGAAAGTTATTTTTTTTTACCAAACATTGACCTATAAAAAGACAATTTAATACCAACCGATCGGCATGTATCGTCAGTTATATAATATTAAAATATCTATCGCGAGGGAACTCAATTAATCTCTAGGATTTAGATAACCATTTTATCTGGGATAAAAATTAAATACAAATCAGTAGACGGCATAATATTCTAGGGGGAAACGTCGGTTTGATAACTATATCGACCTTGAATATGGAACGGTGCGATATTTAAAAATTACCGTCGCCAAGTAGAACTTAACATCCACCTCGGGGCTTACAAAACAGGTACCTACCTACCTATCACGAGCACACCTTCGGAATTTAATAAAAATTATCGTTAAACGTCCACTTACTTCCGCAGGGCCGTAGACCGGATTTCGCCGCTCTCGTTATGTTCATTTTGGCAACGTTTTTCACCAACAGACCTTAAACCGATCGACGAGCACCAATATGTCTGAGGAGAAAATAATATTATGCGGAACGTTACATGCGTGCGGGCTCGATTTTCGCGAGCGAATTGAGCTTTGTGACGGCGGCGGCGGCGATCGGACGACGACGACGATGATAATGATATAAAAGCGACACTGTTCGTGATAAAACGATTTCTGGAGATTTGGCGGCGCTGATGTTACGAACGAACCGGCGGCCAGAGATCTGTAAGTTGTAAACGAGTTCCTTGCGGCAGACGATAAAATTAAATAAATATTATCTTCGTTTCTCGGCGTACTCCGGTCTCGAACCACGACGACTCTCTCGTTGTAATATAATTAAATAATAATAATATCTCATACAGTTATAATATTATAATTATTATTACTAATTACATATTTTTCGCAAAACGATTAGGAAATGGTAATAATTGTTCACAACTAATCATCATTGATGATAATGATAAGCCGGTCGGTCGGCGGCATCGAGTAATAATAATTACCCTATGGTCGGCGGCGGCGGCAGCAACAGCTGTGGGCGCAAGCCGTCGTGGTGGAAGACGTCGTGTAGGTCAAGGCCACGGAGTAGGCTTCTCGGATAACCGAGCAAAACGCTCGAGTGTCCCGGGTCCGGTGACCGGTATCGCGTGATACCGGTATACGACACTATCACCACGGAATAATTATGATTGGGTGGTACGGTTGGACAATATTGGCGGCGGCAATATTATTATTATTGCAAAACTGATTATTATTATTTACTAACCGTAAGAAAGCCCGACCGAGAGAGTCGCATTAGAAAGCACAAAGATGGCAAGAAAGTTGTATTTAGTAAGTACTAAAATAAGTTGTAGTGAGATGGAATGGAATTTACGTGATTCGGAGGACGTTCGGCGACATAAATTCGATTTTGCCATTCTCTCCCCATTATCAAATGTTGGGTGATGTTATCGGCTGGTTATCATGTAACTCTTATCAATCATGATTTTAGTAGCTTTGTTGTTTTTTTTTTTTCATTACCAAATAACAACATTCAAAATAGTGTTAGATTTTTTTTTAAACTTTAATCAAATGTTTTTTTTTGTATAGTCCGCACACTAACTAGCTTGGCATTTATCCCTTTATTTTATCCCACACAACATGACCAAAAACTATGTACCTAGTCAAGGTTGGCTGAGACATATTATAGCATGATCGTCGAATCCCCGGACACCAAATAACTAGTAAGCGCTTCAATATTTATATTTATTATCTACGTTCTTCGTGAACATTTACAAAAATACAGCTTAGGAATTTAGTTTGAACGGTTTGGCCTATATTGTATGGACCGTGAATGCAATCGGTAGATGTTTCAGTGTCTTACAAATTACAATATAATATGTACATACTTTAAGTATTATTTAGTTTTGATCTGTATTGCAAGACCATGTTCTGAGGTTTCCTGCAGTTTTGTTTAAAATACGTTAATTTTGCATATTTTATATTTATTTAATAGAGATATTTACAATATATACTTAAGTGAAATAAGTAAATGTAATGACATTAGTTTGAAAAAGAAAATTATAGGTTTACAAAAAATTTTTGCTGAGAAAACTGCTTTAACGTTTTAATGAAGTACAATCTTTATACTTTATAGTGATATATATCAACAATTGCATATTTGCAAATAAGTATCTTATTACACTTCAACTTAGGTAATTTTTTTAACTCTTTTTGGTGCTTGAGTTTTTTATATACCTAACTCTTGCCTTAATAATGCTCATTTTCAATTGTAAAAGTTATTAAAAATTTCTTGCAAAATTCACTTAATAAAAATAAATTAAAAGCTTTTTAGCTAGATTCATGTAGGCTGACTTCAAATAAAAATATATTCAATCATTTAGTTTCAAATTTAGTTATTGAACAATTTAAAATTATAAGTAAATTTCTTCATGTGGAGATTAGCTACTAAATGTCAAATACTTTAAAAGTAAACTCTTTGAAATAAACATTTAAATAATATTTAATTTGTTTGACATTACACATTGGTGTATTCACTATGAAGTTATAGATTTTAAATTAACTTGAGACTCATTAATATATGCTTAATTTGTTATTTTATTATTTAAGGCCAAATATTCAATAGAACAATATTGTTGGTAGGTACCTAAGTATCAAAGATTGAAGAACATTTTTTTAAAAGTACAAAATAGGTTGTTGTGGGCTACTTATATTTATATTTCTCAGGCCAAAATATATCACCAATTTGCCCTTACATGGGATGATTGTGAGAGGAAACTAGGTAGGTACCCAGTAGTAGTAGTAATTTCCAATACTACATGGCGATCAGCTTAGAATAAAGCAGAATCAGATATGACCTTAATAGATGGCCGTTTTTTCAGTAATAATTTAAGAATTAATTATAACGAATCAAAATTTATTCCATTTTCAAATAACATAAGAACTTCAACGGAAAAAAATGAAATCATCATACATTATACATATTGTAATCCCAAAACATGTACCTGTCCAAAACTCTTTATACATTCAAACTTAAAATAGTTAGGACTATTAATTGATGAAAATTTTTGGTGGAATAACCATATTAATAATCTCATTATAAAGTTAAGACAACTCACATATTTTTTCTGATGGCAAAAAAAATACTTAATAAACAAACAATCAGAATAACGTATTTTGCAATGGTACTATCATTAATCCAGTATGGAATAATCGCCTGGGATGGTTGTAACACTACATTAATAGCAAAATTAACTTTATCTTATAAAAATAATCCTAGGTAAACCTAAAACTTATCCTCCAGTTGAATTATTCAAACTTTTACGAGTAAATAATAGATATTAATAACCTAAGTTATAAACAAGCTATTTCTATATCTTTAAAACAAATGCAATTAAATCTAAAATTCAAACTTACAACACTAGAAATACATTTTTTTGAAATACCATTCATAAATAATAATAAGATCTCAAATACGTGTTTGCAAGTTGGCTTGACGTCTCTATATATGATCTCTAAAAATATACTAAATTGCACTAACTATGTTCATTTTAAACTTAAACTTAAAAACTGGTTTTATAATAATTTATATAAAAAAAAAAAAAAAATCACTTTATTATATAATTTTATTCAACTATAATTTTATATGTTATCCTTATAGCTGTTATATTGTTTTGAAACCATATTTAAAAAGGTATCCTCTTCTTTTTTCTTTTTTTAGAATTTGTTTTTCTTGCTTACTTTATTTATATTTAGTATTAGTAAGTTACTGTAGAATTTGATTAATAATTATTATATTATGTTTTATTATTTTGTCTCTCACCAAGCTTAGATATAAATACTCTTGCTCTTCGATAAGAGGTTCCACCTCAGTGAAGGGCAATGCTAGTTTTATTTTCTCTTTTTGTATATTTTTTACCTGTACAATATTTTACTGGCAATAAATTATTATTATTATATTTATATTTATATATAGTAGAATCTAGTAATGTTATATTTGAACTTATTTGTATGGTTTTCTATGATTTATATTATATAAAATATATAAATAGTTATCAGTTACTAATAACAGTAATGAGTAATAACTATGAACTAAGGTATTTGTAAATAATATAACTGTATAAGTCAACTGAAATGTCAAGTTTTATCCAAACAAAAAAATAGTTTTAGGTAATAATATGATATATTATATCACATTATTATTGATTTTATTTTTGCAAATCATTAATTTTTATTTTATAATTATTTGTAGATTATTTTTCAAGACTGATTATTATGGGAGAGCCATTACCAGATGTTTCAAAGCACAAAGTTATTATTATTGGTGCTGGCATAGCAGGTCTTGCGGCAGCCACACATTTATCACAACACAATATGAATGATTTTATTGTGTTGGAAGCACAGAATCGTATTGGTGGTCGAATATGCTCTTCTAAAATAAGTATGATAATTTATTACTGTTACTTAACATATATTTATATATGAATGATTAACAGATGATCAACAAGTCGAACTTGGGGCTCATTGGATTCATGGGGTCCTAGGTAATCCTATGTATGAATTAGCCTTGGCTAATGGTCTAGTGGATATTACTCACCGTCCGAAATTACCCAGTATTATAGCAGCCGCAACGGATGGAACAAAAGTTCCAATTCAGTTATTACAAGCAAGTTAAAATATTTATTTAATATCTTAATTCTAATGGCAGATTTCTTGATTTGTTATCTTAAGCAAAAAATGTTGATAGGAAAATTATTATTGCAAATACTAAAGACAGAAAAAAAATATACAAAAATAAAATGTAAATTTTCTTTACTCATAAGGTTTACATTTGGTACAATTAGTGTGGGTAATCAGTAAGTAAGACCGAAGACATTTAATAATTAATTTGATAGTAAAAGGGTTATCTAAGACTTAAGAATTAATAGATTACTAAAAAATAAATCTGTCACTGTTTAATTTGTTTAAAAATTTTTTTTTAATTTAATTTTATTATTAGGAAACATATGAAGCGTATATGTGTTTTTTGCGGCGTTGTGAAGATTACTTTACTGGCGCATTTGATCCACCACCCGGGATTCACAGTGTTGGAGAACATGTGCAGCTCGAAATCGCAATTTATTTGGATAAAGTACAAAATAACAATGTCCGTAAATTACAGCGATTGATTTTCAATTGTCTACTGAAGCGAGAAACTTGTATTACTGGATGTAACAATATGTTTGATATTGATTTAGTTGAGTTAGGTAGTTACAAAGAACTCCAGGGTGGTAATATTGCGCTGCCCGGTGGGTATAGCAGTATTTTAGATCCTATTCATAATAAGTTACCACCGGACTGTATAAAATTAAATTCTCAAGTGACAAAAATCAAATGGCCATCAGGCATTGACAACGGTACAGATTCTGAAGATTCTGATAAGACTGTTATTGAAGTAGGCGGTGAGGATGTCACCAATGAAACCGTGTACGTTCATTGTGATGAAAAGATTTATGAAGCTGACAGTATTATATGCACACTGCCATTGGGTATACTCAAGTCCAATGACATTTTCTGTCCAAAACTACCAAAGTACAAAGAAAAATCTATTGGTAGACTGTTGTATGGTGTAGTGGATAAAATTTTTTTGTATTACGATCGGCCGTTTTTGAGTGCCGATACGGATGAGATACTTTTACTATGGGACAATGATGAAATAGGGGATTGGAGTGAAAAGATATATAGTTTTTCAAAAGTAAATGATACACTATTGCTTGGTTGGTTATCTGGTAATGAAGCTGAAATCATGGAGAAATTGGATGATAAAATAATTGGAGATAAGTGTACAGATATATTGAGACGTTTTCTGAATGATCCTTGTATACCATATCCATCTAAATGTATGTGGTAAGTATTAACATTGTTTTTAAAACTCTTCAGTAGTATACTTATTCAGTTTTGTTGTAACCGTTTTTTATTGTAGCACTCGATGGAAATCAAACGAATTCAGTCTCGGTTCATACACTGCTATTGGAGTTGGCTCTAGTCAGTTAGACATCGAACACATTGCGAGACCAATGCATGTAAATAATAATACAATTGTGAGTAACAAGAACTCATTTATTTGTTTGTGAATGCCTAATAACTATCTATACAAAATATGTTTTGTTTAAAGCCTATCATAACGTTTGCTGGGGAACATACCCATCCAAATTTTTACTCGACTGTTCATGGAGCATATTTGTCTGGGCGTGCAGCTGCTGAAATGTTGATTGTGTGTAAACGTGAAGACGAACCACTCAATACTACAGTCGCTGACCTAGGTTCATGGATACAAGGCTTACCACTAGCGTAGTAAAACTTTTGTTATTTTATTTATTTATTTATTTTTTGCAATTGTATTTATTTATTTAACCAAATTGTGATATTAGGTATTAGTTGTTAGTTCAAGTTAGAAAAATGTCGCTTTTTTGACTATGAACTTTTAATTCTGGTCAACAGATAGTTTTCTAAAAAATTGTTTCTTGCTAAAGTACATCTTTATTTTCATAAATCTAAAAATCTTTTACAATTTGTATGTTTGTAAAGACTTTTTAGTTTTTATATTTCTGTGGACAAATATTCTTTAAATTTTTAAATATTAAACCATGGCGTACATTTTGGTTTAAAAATGTAAATGCTTACAAGTCTATTTTTCAGTTTCTTACCTTTTTTTATGGCTTTATAAATTGTTTAACCTTTTCACTGCTAAATTGGTTTTTCCTATGATACTCATCTCCACTGAATTTTTTTTTTTTATATCATAAATGCATAACATTTACTTGTATAGTTGCATAGAATCATATTATGTTGAAGTTATAAAAATAAAAACAATATATTATAATATTGAATTAGATATTTAAGTTTCAAAATTGTACAATGATTGAATGGATTGCCTAACAGTGCATACAATAATAAAAAAATTTAACCTACTTTACGTATTATCTTTTTAACGTGTTAGGTATTTAGTATAGTAATATAAACCAAACCATATTTTTCCTACTAAAATAATTATTGATCAAGGGTTTATCGTTAAGTCACACTACATACTATACAGAATATCCAAATGCATAGAAAATGTTTGTGTCACATAAGGCATAGCTTAACACGTCTTAAGGGACACATACATTGACTATGCACACGGGCAATAGACTATTATGTAGCTCTTCTGGAAAACAAAAGAAATTATAAAAATATAAAATGTGCCACATGATTCTGGAAATAAAAATAAAACTGTTTTTACCTTTAGTTTTATTATCTAAACTCTAGATAAAAGAATGTAATAGACAATCAAATCATGAAAAAATAAATTTATAATTATTTGGCATTTGCTTTGGGTGACCAAAGCTTGTTGACTGTTTTTTGTGAGACTAGTGTAATGAAACCTTGGATTGGATTTCATATGGCTTGGTGGGTGCCATATAAAAATGTCAATACTACTCGGACCTATAGTAATATGCGTACTTAGAATTTTTAAATGGGGGTCCTTAATTATTAAACTCTAATATGTAGATGGGTACTTATGTAGATGGTTTTTTCTGTAGTATTTACTTCATTGAAATAGATCCACAGTGTTGCAGCTGGATAACCATGATAATATTATCAATTTTAGAGATCTTTCTGATTTGGTGGTACCGTTTCACCATCTTCAAAAAAAGGTAGTTTTGGCTTATTATTCTGCATATGTTAGACTTGTTAGAGGATATTGTTAGAGCGCTTACAAATTCCAAAACCAACTGTATTATATAGTTGATATATAGCAATTTAATATTTTTAATATATTTTTACAAAACGTTTTTCTAGAATCGAAAATTATTTTAAATTGTTTTTAAACGTATTAAAAACAGTTTTTGGCTAGCATAGTATGTAATAAATTCACTGAAAATTCAAAATAAAAATTATTTTATTTTAAATTAAAACAAAATAACTAAAAATATCAATAAAGAAAATTGTTTTAGTATATATTTTATAGAATTGTTGGTTAAGGTATTAATTACTCATGACAAGCCTTACTTTAAATGTTAATTTCTTAACAATGGATTATTCAATAATCAAAATAAAACATTCTATACATTTTTAATAAGTTACAAATCATTATTATTTGTAAATTTTCGTTATAATGACTAATATAATACAAAATTGTTTTAATAACACATTCAAAAACTATAAAATAAATGGAAAAGCAACTAAGACACTATAATACAATATAAAGAAAACCATTTAAACATATTAAATTGTATTAAAAAAAAGTCATGTATATTAGAATGCTAAAAAATGTATGAAAAGTATTATTGATAATATACAACTCAGAACTTGTTAACAATTTCGTACAGCTATGTAAATCAACTAATGTGTTTATACTGATACAATTTTTAGGGCACAGTTGTGACAGTAAAAAATCGCAACATGCCACTTTTACATCTTGTAGCTGCAAGCGGATTGCATCTGGTAGTAAAACCTTGAGAAAAAAGCAATAAAGAATTAAAATTTTTGTTTATTGATTATTTTTGAATATTTTTGCATTTTTGGCATATTTTAGCATATTTTTTAAATTTTTTAGAGAATATAATGACTAATGAGAATATTTTAAGGTTTTTTAGAGAATATTAGCATCATATTTTAGGTATTTTATGAGTATAAAAATCCAGTCATTAGTAATAACTAATAAGTAATGACTAGAGACCGGGATTTATATGAGTTTAAAATCTTGAAAATAAGATGATTCTATGCTCTATAATTTCATCAAAATAATATTTTATCTGCAAAAATATTCTTCTCATAAACAAGTATTAGATACTGAAAACACAAATAAAAGTAACAGTTTATAAAAATAAACAGTTATATTTAATCTATAATAATATGGTGATAAACTGCCACACTGGTGTACCTATATTTAACTATTGTACCTAACATAAACTTATGAATTCAAAATATAATAATACTAAAATAAACAATAAAAAATAAAAAATAATTGCATATAGTTCATTAACAGAATAATATTATGTATTGAAATAACTCTAACTGAAATAATTCAGCCTTATGAACTCAAAAGATTATTATTAATAACAAGTTTTAAATAATAAAAATAAAAAAGGTGGGTAAGTGGATGTTGCTCTGCTGTACAGTAGGTTACAAGTGGGTCACTGTATGATGGATGCTATTAAATTTGAATTCAATGATACAATATCATTGTATAAGAAAAACGATTCTGAGCGAAGACGGTATGTCAGTCTAGGTTTAATACAAATTATATACATATCTATGGTATTAAAAAAAAAATTGACCTATAATAAATTCCAAATTAATCATATCACATTATCACAATATCCATTAGGTACTTATAACACGTTATACATCAACATCAACAACAAACCCTGATACTATCATATATATATAATAGTACACTTTAGAAGTTTCAAGTAGGTACCCACGAATAATATTATATAATCACAACAAAATAACTATGTTTTTTAATATGTAATTTCGTCCAAATTTGAACATAAAATGACTATAAAAGTAAACCGTGATTGTATATTTTTTAGATTTTTCGGTAAGAGAATTAACTACTTACGTGGAATCTTGTTTTAAAATTTCAATCCTTAGCTATAAAAACATTTTATAATTTATTAATTACGATGATTAATAATTTTCGAGATTTTGAAAAATTCTATCAAAATTCGATGTTAAAATGCTTATAAAAAAAAATTGTGCCTATGTATTTTTAATATTTTTTAACTGATATTGTAACAATATATCAGGAGCCTTGTATTAAATTTTTACACTTTTTGGCCCAACAGATAAAACTTAATTGATATTTATAGAAAAAAAAAACTAAAAAAATTGAAAACTGAAAATGTCCGTAAACGGCTCAAAAAGTGTCAAAATATTTTCAAAATTGTAGGGTGTATAGGAAATGCTAATATAAACATTCAGTGAAATTTTCATGTATCTACAGTAATTCGTTTTTTAATTACAACAAAAAAAGGAAATTGCCACATGAGAAATCGAGTGAATATCCAATGTTGTAAAAATTTGAATTTCAAACGCTCATAAAAATTTAATTTGACTTTCCGGTAGAAATTTTTTTATTGATAAAGGTAGACAATCTTATGAGTAATCTTGTATTAGATTTTCAAATCTTAGATTTAAAAAGAAAAATTTTTACGAATTCTTAACTCAAAATAATTTGCTAATTTTCGTGATTTTTCCATATTTTGTCAATTTTTGAACTTTAAATGCTTATAAAAAAAAATTGTGACTAAGGATTTTAATATTTTTCATCTGCCTTTGAAACAACATATTAGGAGCCTTCTATTAAATTTTCAAGCTTTCGCAGCCAACAAATAAAATTTTATTGAAATTTTTAGAAAAAAAACTAAAAAAAAATGGAAAATGAAAATGTCCCTAAACAGTTCAAAATAAATCAAAATATTTTGAAAATGTTATCGTGTATAGAAAATGCAAATATAAACAACCAGTGAAAATTTCATGTATATACGTTCATTTGTTTTAGAGTTACACCAATAACCAAAATCGATTTTTTGGAAAATCAATTTTGCGTAAAAATTCCCGTTTTTCCTTAATTTTTATGTTGTTTTTCCCGGCGCTTGTGAAAACTACTGGGAAATTTAAATTTTGACCTTCCCAATGCACCAACGATATTCACTTTCCAATCGAACAAGATACTGAAGTCGAAAATCGAAGCATTATTTCGACTACTTATCGTGTACACAGGTACAAAAAAAATAAAAAAATAAAAAAATAAAAAAAATAAAAAAACACACATCATTGTAAAATCAATACATTCATCGTTTCACTCAGAATCTAAAATCAGTTCATAGGTAAATGAATCGCAGAGAAAGCTTATCCAATTGGAGTTGCATACTCTCAGTGTAGATATGTAAAAACATAAAAATCATAATGACTAATGACGCTTATATGCACTATTACAATCTTTCACGTATGGCTGGTTCGCAGGTGGAAATCACAATTAAAACTATAACAATTTAAAACTGATAATATAAATGGAACGTAATCCTTCTTACATATATATTTTCCATTACATTATTATATTATTATATTTTATATCTAGTTAATATTACTATTCCTATTGCTGTTATTTGATTATATCTTTTTATTACAGGTCCAGACTATCAATAAACTATTTAATTTAAGTCCTATTACATAATCTAGACCAGCATTAATTGATTTTATTCTATATAATAATTATACTATAATCGTATTTTATTAATTTACTTACTCCATTAAGAGGACGCCACACCCGCATGTGTTGTCTCCGTCTTACAAACGCGTAAC